AGGAATGACTCTACACTGCAGTGCTGTATCTTTATGCATTTCAGCCCTGATGAACAATCCTACCCACTCAAAGTCTCTGAATGTAATGCTTGGGTTATATATCAGGCCTTTGGCACATTGTTTTGCTTATTTGGTTACCATTGCACAGCCTCTGCGGGTGAGCTTTGCCGCAGCAGATGTCTCCCATTGTCATGGTATTTAAATCCTGGCATAAACACCTTGAGTTTTGCATTCTACTGCTTAAGGATTTTTCAGTTTCAAATCCCAGCTTTTGTAGAGAAGATTACAGAATAGTAATTTCACCTGGGACACACCTGTCCTACCCCCCAAAGCCACGTCCATCTGAATGAAACTCATCAACGCTCAACTATTATTGTGTGACCTGGTCTGCAGAAACAGACGGAATTCCATATACAGCAATACCCTTAAGTGATATAAAATTAAACACATGAACACTTACAAAAAAAGTATTATCCAAAAGCCCTATTTTGCATAAACGTCTCTAAGTTAGAATGCTGCAAAATGAAATGATGGGGACTTCTGAAGTGCTAAACAGACTGTCAGTGAAAAAACAGCCTTGTGCTTTCTTCTTTTATTTTTTTTTTTAATCTCGCCAGGCTGACTTCATCAACTCTTAACAAAGCAGCTGACTTGAGATAATCAATGCACAACTCACGTGAAAAAAGTTAAACTAAAGCTTAACCATGCTAAACATATGTAAGCAACAGGTACGTATCAAAACCTACACTCACCAGTGAAGTCAAAAATCTTTTACTATGGAATGTTACAAGGCCATGCTAAACCTCTCAATCTAGACCTTTCAGGAAATCTTGATAAGGCAAAAAATACTTACTATGGAAACACTGTTATTAATGTTTGTTCTAATGCACAATGAAAACAATTTACCATGCAGAAAAATACTGTCCACTTTAAAATATTCATTCCACCTCCCCAAGCACAGCAATGATCACGTTCAACCATTGCTGCCAACGAGTTAGTAACGACCAGAATCCAAAGCACCACAAAACAAATGAAAAAGAGAATATGTTACTTATCCTGTTAGCATATTCTGATTTGTCAACCAAAAAAAAATCACAATGCATTTACCTTGCTTCAAGCAATAAAGGAGTTGAAGACCACTTTGTAGTTAGAGATGTGGTCACAGCCTTAGAATCTCCTCTTACAAGTGAAGAACTGAACCAGATTCCAAGAACTGCAATAAGTATTCCCATTTTACAGCAACCTAAAACAGATGAAGAAAAAAAAAAGTTAGTTTTGCATTTGTCTTTTTATAAATACAGAATATCTCATATATCCAAATATATTAAGGCATATTTTAACATTCAGTGGCCCATGTAATGCGTGAGGTAATCACAGTCTCACTTCAGTTACAAAAATATTATGAAACCATGAAGAGAGACAAGGATTTTTAGATCTGACTCCTGAGCTGCAATTAAACCTAAATCAGTTCCAGGTTCCTCTGTGTTTATGCTTTCAAAGAAACTTGCTCAGTTCTCTTCTGGTGGACACCCCCATCATGTGCTACCTACTTTAAGAAGAGGTATCACAAACAGCATATATTCCAAATCAGGTGGAAAACCAACCCACCGTTCATTTTACAGGAGACACAGTCACGTTTTGTATTTGCACAGATTAAACCTAAATCAGTTCCAGGTTCCTCTGTGTTTATGCTTTCAAAGAAACTTGCTCAGTTCTCTTCTGGTGGACACCCCCATCATGTGCTACCTACTTTAAGAAGAGGTATCACAAACAGCATATATTCCAAATCAGGTGGAAAACCAACCCACCGTTCATTTTACAGGAGACACAGTCACGTTTTGTATTTGCACAGATACGTCAGCTGGGGTAATAACCCAAGTCGGAAGGGACAGGCAATAAGAGCCAGGCAAGGTTACGGTTCCCGAGTCAGCCCTTCAGGTTCTGCTGGGTACAGTGGGCTTCTCTGGGGAATGCAGAAACAAGCATTTCCTGGGTGCGCTACAGACCACCAACTTCAGAAGCTGAAAATAGGAATGAATGAAATAATGAAGACAGACTCAAATGATACAAGTCACTGTGAAAAATGAGGGCACTCTCCCCCGCCAAAAGGAAAAATTATGCCATTTCTTTATTGTCCTTCATGTCTACTTTCATGCCTGTACATTCTGTGACCTCTGGATCACAGCTGAGTGGAATTTCCTTGCCCACAACTCTTAAGCTTATGGAAGATCCAAATTCTCCTGTCAGGTGTCCATTATAGTTTCCAAAAGTTCAAGCTTTTGTCCCCTTTCTCCGACTAAAGTATATTTCTTACACAACCAATATATATACCCAAGCACTGGTTCACTTCTTATTTTTCTGGATAACTCACTTTCCATTCCCCCTCACCCCTAATTGAAAAAACAGCTCATCCAAATTCCAGGTATATCACACCCAACACCCTGTCAGGATCTAACTCGCGTCTCCTTTTCATGATGATCTCAATGTAAAAAACAGTCTTTGCACACAGGTTATATATCTGTAGCTTTAGCTCTGCCTGTATTCATATATTGATAAACGAAAGAATCTCATCTTACTTAAAAAGTTACAGTTCTCCAGCTAAAAGCTCAGCAGCAATCATTCAACCCATTACTCTTTCTGTATTTTAGTGCCCTTTCTTTCAGAACAAAACCAGAATTGCCCTGCTATAATCTACAAAGAGCAACTTGCCCAGCTGCACACGACATTTGTTTTACGCTGCACCTGGGAGGCGGACAGATGGCATCGCATGACACGGGAGCGGTTACAACCACCGCTCGCTGTGTGCAGAGGAGGAAGCTCGGTCAATATTTGCGGAGTGAAACCTTGGCTCTCACCAAGCACAACAGAAAAACAGTGCTTGCAGTTCCTCCCAGAATCAGGTCCTTCTTATTCACCGCAAATCGCACGTTGTATTTTGGAACGTGTAAATGAATATACTGTACTGTGTTCTTACAGCCAGAGCTCCTGTGCTGTTCTCTCATGCCTGCTTTCCTGTAATAAAGGTCTTTTTCTGTATGAAATAGGGAAGAAAAAAACAAGACAGATTTCTCACCTAACACCAGTTTAGCCAACTGAAAACCTGCAGATGAGAAATATCTCCACTCCCTGAATAATAACAGCAACACGTGAAGGATCAGCATTTCCAAGAAAATTAAAAATGCACTGTGGAGAAGAGAGGTGAGAGGCGCAGGAACAAGCATAAGCGACGCACGGAGATCTGGCTGAGTTCTGAGGTAACGAGGCAAAACCCAATCGTTAAAGTGGATTCTTCAGGCCTCATTTGTAAATATTTTCCAGCCAGAGATACACTTGACTTGTGGAAACTTGCACGTCCAGCCTCCCTGAGAAAGGAATGGACCGTCCCACAGCCACGG